ACACTCGAGAGTGAGCCTCATTTTCAATGAACATGTAGCTGGCGCCTCGGCGAGAGCGTCAGGGCGCCTTTACGGTGTCCAACAACAACAACTGTTTAGCAATTAACATTCTCAAAAACTGCATGTGTTCAGTGACCTGGGCGGTTCAAGCAGGGAAAACGCTGCGTTTGTTGACCAACCAACCCATCCGCGCATCGCCCGCCCCCCCCTTACACGGCTGCCCGCCTCTGGGGCACGCGAATCGGGCTGTGCAGGAAAGTCATGTATGTCGGGCGGCCTGAACGGATGCTGTTCGAGCGGAGGTCCACCATGCATTTGCGACAAATTCGCAGTTCGCAGCCACTCAGGGAACCGCGAGGTATTGGCTCGGTCTGCGTGCTCCCCTACTCCGCCGTGCCTCCCAGGAGCCCACGAGAGTGGCGAGATCTGCACAGTTCGTAGCCACGCAGGAAGCCGCGCAGGAGGAGGCGGGAAGACAGAGGAAGGAGGCGGGAGGAAGAGGACATCGAGACCACAATGCACAGAGGAGGAAGGTTGGGAATACAATTCTGGAGGTCGGCGAGGATTTCTTGGAACTGCGCTGGCACCCCCTCGTTGGCGCAGTGAGCGCGCCAGGGCGGCGCCCGAGACGCCGTCCAGGGGTCTCTGGCGCCGATCCGAAGAAAAAACTATCGGATCTCCGATAATTTGTGCTCATGCGGTTTCTTCTTCGACGAACGGCGACTGCATGTCTGCCACCAGCGAGCTCTCTGTCCCCCCTTCTGCGGCAACTCATGGGAGCCTGCCATGCCATCTTATTGGCTCTTGCGAATGGACGCTAATCGACGCTAAATCGTTGCTGATCGGTGCTCATCGACACGAAGTCGACGCTAATGACGCTAGATCGGCGCGCTCTCATCGATCGACAGACGCCAGCGCACGCTAATGCATTCTAAGGAAGGAGTTACGAGGACACAGAAGGCCTCCATGACTTGCTACCGAAGCCCCCCTTTCACCCTGGCCCTGCGAAAACTGCGCCCCCCGCGCGGTGCCGCCACGCACTCGGTCAAACGATGGCTCAGACTGCGGGCAGCTGATGGACAAACAAGGGGCACGCGTGCCAAGGATCATACAATGACGAGCGGGAGCGGGCGGGGGGGTCCCTGGGGGTCCCCAGACGAAAGGTACTCCGAGCCAGCCCTGGGCGAATCGGGTCAGAGATGGTGTTCCTCCTGGGCGCCGCCCTCAGGGCCACCTAAGAGCACGGTCGGTCGGAATAAGGGGGCGGGGGCGCAGGGGGGGGGAGCGGGGGGGGGCACAGTCGGTCGGAATAAGGAGAGGAGTGCAGGGGGGGAGCGGGGGGGAGCGCACGGCCGGTCGGAATAAGGGGAGGGGGGGGGGCGCAGGGGGGGAGCGGGGGGGGGGGGGGGCACGGTCGGTCGGAATAAGGGGAGGGGGCGCAAGGGGGGAGCAGGGGGGGGGCACGGTCGGACGGAATAAAGGGAGGGGGGCGCAGGGAGGGAGGGGGGGGGGAGCCCACGGTCGGTCGGAATAAGGGGAAGAGGGGGCGCAGGGGGGGGAGCGGAGGAAGGGCCCACGGTCGGACGGAATAAGGGGAGGGGGGCGCAGAGGGGGGGAGGGGGGGGGGGGCACGGTTGGTCGGAATAAGGGGGGACGGGGGCGCAGGGGGGGAGCGGGGGGAGGGGTCGGAATAAGGAGAGGGGGGCGCAAGGGGGAACGGGGGGGTGGCCCACGGTCGGTCGGAATAAAGGGAGGGGGGCGCAGGGGAGGACCGGGGATGTGGCCCACGGTCGGTCGGAATAAGGGAACGGGGGCGCAAGGGAGGAGCGGGGGGGGGCCCACGGTCGGTCGGAATAAGGGGGGGGCGCAGGGAGGAGCGGGGGGGGGGCCCACGGTCGGTCGGAATGACGGGAGGGGGGCGCAGGGGAGGAGCGGGGGGGGTGGCCCACGGTCGGTCGGAATAAGGGGACGGGGGCGCAGGGGGGGAGCGGTGGGGGGGCCACGGTCGGTCAGAATAAGGGGAGAGGGGCGCAGAAGAGGAGCGGGGGGAGTGGCCCACGGTCGGGCGGAAGAAGGGGACGGGGGCGCAAGGGGGGAGCGGGGGGGGGCCCACGGTCGGTCGGAATAAGCGGAGGGGGGCGCAAGGGGGGAGCGGAGGGGGTGGCCCACGGTCGGTCGGAATAAGGGGAGGGGGGCGCAAGGAGGGAGCGGGGGGGGTGGCCCACGGTCGGTCGGAATAATGGGAAGGGGGCGCAGGGGAGAAGCGGGGGGGGTGGCCCACGGTCGGTCGGAATAAGGGGAGGGGGGCGCAGGGGGGGAGGGGGAGGGGCCAGCACGACCACCAGCACGACCACCAGCACCTCCACCAGAACGGCCAGCAACACGACCGCGAGCACGACCACCAGCACGACCACCAACACGACCACCAGCACCTCCAGCACGGCCAGCCACCAGCACGACCACCAGCAGAACCACCAGCACGACCACCAGCACGACCACCAGCACCTCCACCAGAACGGCCACCAACACGACCGCCAGCACGACCACCAGCACAAGCACCACGCACGCACGACACCAGCACGACCACCAGCACGACCACCAGCACGACCAGCCACCAGCACCTCCAGCACGGCCAGCCACCAGCACGACCAAGCACGACCACCAACACGACCACCAGCACCTCCAGCACGGCCAGCCACCAGCACGACCACCAGCACAACCACCAGCACGACCACCAGCACGACCACCAGCACGATCACCAGCACCTCCACCAGAACGGCCACCAACACGACCGCCAGCACGATCACCAGCACAACCACCAACGCGACCAGCCACCAGCACGACCACCAGCACAACCGCCAGCACGACCACCAGCACGACCACCAGCCCAGCACGACCACCAGCACGACCACCAGCACGACCAGCCAGCAGCACGACCACCAGCTCGACCACCAGCACTTCCCAGCACGACCACCAGCACAAGTACCAGCACGACCACCAGCACGACTGCCAGCACCTCCACCAGAACGGCCAGCAGCACGCACGTCCACCAACCACGACCACCAGCACGGCCGCCAGCACAACCACCAGCACGACCGCATTATGGGCACACGGTCGGTCGAAATAAAGCAGTGCGAGATCACACCGGTAGGTATGATGATAATGGGCGATAACCTTTCGGGCCCCAGACCTACTGTGTTCAATGGAGCCAACACCCAATCAACAAAATCCCCAAGCAACCCCACGGACAACTCGGACCACCCGTTAAACCGTGGATAGCATGACGACAAGACGACCTACCCTGGACAGCCCCTTCGACAACCCAGCGCGGATCCGCCGGACACCCCCCCTTGGACCAGCCTCCCCGGGAATTGTCTTCCATCCTTGGACCAGCCTCCCTTGGACCAGCCTCCCTTGGACCAGCCTCCCCCGTCGGTCGAAAGACGAAGGTAGACAGGAAGTAGGAAGGCGTGGAAGTAGGTTGCGCTTCCGCCCGCCCCACGCACAGGAGGGGAGAGGGAGACACACGCTCGACTCTTGAAGCAGGAAGGCGCCTAAAACAGATTGGGATCTGGGACCCCAGAAATCCGACGACCCTGTCGGCGTGTGTGAAGGCTTCTCCCGCCCGGCTCGTCCTCTCTGTCATTCGTTCGTTTTCCGACACGATGGCCCCTCAACAGAACTTTGGAAACGTCGCCGTTCGAGTCGTTCTATCCGTCAAGCGTTCACTCTCCGACGCGACCGCCCCTCCGCAAAGTTCGGAGACGTCGTCTGAGCATTGAAGGGAAGCCCCTTCCCTGATTCCATCACCCGCCCGCAGGGTGGGGTCCCTTGGGAGGGGGGGGGGTCCCGGGAAGGTCAGACGACTCCCCCCCGGGGGATCCCGGGGCCCCAAAACGCCCCAAGACGGGCCAAGAGTGCCCCAAAGAGGCCCCCGAGACGGTCCAAGATGGCCCCGAATCGCCGAACGATCTCTCCAAGACACCTTGACGGCCTCCAGACAGCCCAAGAGCCAAGAGGCCTCCAGGAGCACCCCCAGGAGGGCCCCAAGAGGCCAAATTCATTGATTTCCCATTTGTTTTTGAAGCATTTCAGCGTTCTCGCCTATTTCGCTTCCAGACGCTCCAAGACGCCCCTGAAGGCCCCCCGAATCGCCCAAAGAGAACTCCAGGATGGACCCAAAACGGCCCAAGAGCCTCTTAGCAAGAGGGCCCCCAGACGGCCCAATACGCCTCCAAGACGGCCCAAGAGGTCTCAAGACGGCTCCAAGAGGGTACCCTGACGAGGGACCAGAACGGACATTTCGAGTCTTCGGCCCCGAGATGCTCCCAGGAGGAACCGAAAGGCCCCCAAGAGGCCCACAAAAGGCCCCCAGAGGCCCCCAATAGGCCCTAAACTGTCCCCCAGAGGCCCCCCAGAACGCTTCGAAGAGACCGCGAGAAGCATCCATGAGGGCTCTGACCCACGTCAGCGTCGTCGCCGCCGCCGCCGTTGTCGTCGTTCTCCTTCAGGGTCGGCGGCACCAGCATCAAGGCCTCCGCAATACCAAATTATTTTCCACGACCAGCCTGCTCGCCATCGCTCAGAAGTCCATTCTTCGTGCATGTGTCGCTTCCGTGCGCGTATTGCTTCGAAGGGTGACTCACAGTGCTCCTCGATGGATTTTGCGAAAACATATGCACACGTCCGAACGAGGCCAAGCCCGCATCACTATTAGGGGGCCACATGAAAACCCGACCCCTACCCCCCACGACTTCTGAGGGGAGGGTTCACTTCGCTCGGGAACTTCTAGGGGGCCACATGCAAAACCTACTCGTACCCCCCACGATTTCTGAGGGGGAGGGAGGGCTTCACTTCGTTCGGGAGCTTCCGAGCGAAGCAAACCCCACCCTCCCCCATCCGGAATCGTGAGGGGGAGGGTCAGGGCTCGCATGTGGCCCCCGATGTACTCCACGATTTGCTGCCGGAGATGCCCCCACGCGGCGCGGGGGGGCGCCGTCCTGGCGTTCCTGGCGTTCCTCGCCAGAGGCCGCGGCCAGGCGCCGCGCGCCCTCGGACAGCTGGGGCGCCCCGCCCTGCGGGGGGGAGGGGGGGGGAGCCGAGCGGGCGGCAGCCCGCCGCCTCTCGGCGGACGCCTCGGCGGCGGTAACCTCTTTGGGGTCCCAAAACAGCCTGGTGACAGACCGTGCTGTGACCTCGGAAACCCAAGAGACCTCAACGCACGGTCCGTGACCGCACGTTTTGGAGACCTCCCAGTCGCCCGAGACATCCTCGGAGAGGGACTCGAGCCCCAAAACCGTGCGGCGACCCCGGATCCCTACCGGCTCACCACATGGTGTGGTCGCCACGCCGTTTGGAGGCCCCCGGATCTCGGAATCAATTTCGGCGGCAAGCCAGGCGGAGGATCGTCTCTTCTGGGCGAGAGAGGCGCCCATGCGGAGCACCGCGCGTGGACTGCCGTCCAGGCCCCGCTCTAGCGCGGCACGCTGCATGGCTGTGCTCGGCCCTGGGGGCAGAAATAGAAATGCATTGCAAAACTTCGTCGGTCGAGGATAGGCGGCGCTTCGGGGGGTCCAGCTCGGCGTGGTGCGTCGTCGGCGGCCGTCTCGATGGCCCCTGGGGACTCCCGCATGGAACGGAGACCAGGTGAAAAACGACGACATACACCTGATAACTCGAAAGTCCGCGCTGCGCGCGCCAGGGGCGGAGGCCCACCGCCGATCCGAGGAATTTGCGCGGACCTTAAAGTTATCATTTTGATGCCATCGCTTGTTCCCAGAAAAAAAGCCAGAGGATCGGGAATGCAAACTCATGGGCACGCTTCGAATCTCAGCTGGGACACTTGGGAACCAGCGGGACCCCGGGGAACCCCTCGAAACTCTTTGGGACAGCTGGGGAACGACCCCTCTGGTGATGGCCAGGGATAGGGCGGGGCTTGGATTCTGACGTCGAGGATGATGCTGCGACGACGAATAGGACGACAACGACGGCGACAACGAAAGCAACGACGACGATGACGACGACGACGTTGATGAGGATGGTGGTGATGATGGTCATGGTAATGGTAATGGCAGTGGTAATGGCGATGATGATGATGTTGCTGATGTTGGTGATGTATGTATGTATGCATGTCTGCTCCTCGAGACGGGTCTCGGCCCTGACCAGAGCTGGGAGAGGCGGCGGACTACGAGCATACGCCGTGCGAGAAAGTGCGCAACCAAACGCCATTGTACAACTGTGTTCATGGTATGGTACCAAAGCTATGGAGATCGTGCAAAAGAAATCCATGGTTGGATGAGGTGGGGGCAACGAAAAAGAAAGGACTTCCACCTCCAAGGGCGAAGCTTACGCGAGTGGCCTTGTCGGCCGCGACCAAAAGGCGCCTCCTGCCGACGAAAGAAACTGGCATCGCGAAAATAAAGGACCTGGGGGGTCAGACGGGCGGGGCCGCTCTCACTCATGTATTCAAAATGTCCTGCCCACCGATACTGTACTGTCAGTGGAGATTCGTCCCAGTCGAAGATATCCAATCATTTTCTCATCACGTTGATCTTTCCACACGTACAATACATGAACTGGTCCCCGGGCTGTCCCGCAGTTTTTCTGAAAACGAAAACTCTTCTGCGAATGGTGTCCTGGAAGCCTCAGAGCTTTGCGAACTGGTCCTTTCTGAATGTCCACCCTTTGGCTCGCCAAGGGGACTGTTGCGCACTATGCTGTCGCGGATGTTGATGTTGATGACGATGACGGCAATACTGATGACTATGATGATGATGATGATGATGATGATGACAATGCTGATGATGGTGATGATGATGACGATGACAATGGCGGAATCCCGAATTTAAGTTCAGTGGGGCCGTGCTGCAACAGTGCCCCGCGCCCCCTGCCCCGGCGGTTCTCCAGCGGGGCTGCCGCGGCACCCTCTGGGCGCCACGCTCCGCGTGCACGCTGCCCGGTGGCGGCGGCCTGGGCAGAGCTGCGTGCGGAGCCCGCGCCGCAGGCAGCGCTCGCTGCAGCCACCACCGCTGCTGCCGCGTCGAAGCTCACAGGGGGCAAAAGTACCCATACCACTACCCTCCTCTCGTTTTCCCCTTTTTGGGCCTCCTGGGCCTCCGTCTGCGATGGCGCGCTGCTGGTTTGCAGCATACGGAGTGGGAAGACGCAACCTTGTATGGAGAAGGGTGCCCGCCGGCAAATCCGAACCAACTGCACGCAACAAAGTTCGTAGCATCTCCTTCCAACATCCCGTACACCCCGACAACATTGCGACCTTCGCTCCGAGCAGCGCGTCCGACAACTGGAAAAGAGGCGCCCAGCCGGCTCGTAGTTGCCAGCTGCATGTTTTCCTTCCTTGCGTGCAGCGGCCCCTCCTCGGAAATCAATTCGCACCGCTTTCTCTGCACCCCCGTGCGCGTGCACGCTAAAATGAAAATGCGTCTGGTGACTGAGGTGAAGATCCGTCCGCCCGGGACGCAACCTCCACGCCTCCAGCCACGACTCCCAAACAAGACAGCTGCCTTGTCTTTGCAGAGCCTTCTCTCTGCAAGAACTCTCCTGACCAGCCTCCACATGGCGCGCGCGCGCGCTGGGCCAAGGCGCGCCACTTTTTGGGCTCGGGGGCCCGGTCTGCAGGAGCGGGGCCGCAGGACCCACGCGTGCGGCACCCGCATGTGGGGCAAAGGCGCCACGCCCGCGCCGGCCTTGCCGTCGTCGCCCTGCGCCGCCACGGGCCACGGCTGCAGCGAGGAAGGGCGGAAGGAAGGCGGCCCGTGACTCCTGGCACCGCCCTGGCGGAGCAACCCACGGCCGCATGGGGGCCCACCGTGGGCGTCGGAGAAGCAGACCTGTATGGCTCAACCGGTTAGAACCAATGTGCACGACGGTAAGCCGTGCCTGAAAAAAGGCCCGCCCTCCACCCGTGAAGCTGTTGCAACTTTGACGACGCGCGTGGGGGGCGCTGAGGCCAGGGCCACAACTTGCAATTCAGGGGGCCTGGGCATCCCTTCCACGGGCGGAAGTCACTAGTTCTCGCTGGAAGAAGGGGGGATCCAGAACTGTTTCTCACGGTTGGGAGAGAAAGACTCACCAGGATTACCCTCATCACAGGAGCGAAACAAACAAATAACATGCCCGATCGCCCACTTGCCCCAACAGCGCCTCTGCACCGAGACGGCTCCTCCGACAGGCAGAAGAGGAGACAAGACAGAAACGTTCGCCCTAAGGCGCCTGCAGGTTCCCCCAAACCTGCGAACGCGCACCGGTTGAGCAAGAGGCCGACCGTCCCGGCATTCCTATAGCTTTATAACGAAATTTTCGTATTGCCCAACCGTATTCTAAAAGCAAGCACAACGTTGTTAGAACATAAACCCGATATGTTAAAACGAAACAGCCCCAACCATACTTGTCAAAAGAACATCTCGCGCAAACTACGAAAAGGTTCTTAAAACACTGTTTGGTAAGCCTGTACGCGAGCTAAGACCTAAGACGCTTCGCCACTGCTTGAAGCGGGAGGAGGACAGGAGGAAACGCTGGCCCAGCCGCTAAGCGCGACCCTCAGGAAGGCGGGCGGGGAGGCCAACCTCCACCGCGTCGAAGTCGAGGGGCCGCAGCTCGCGCGCCTGCGTGACCGACCTCCCCGCGGCCCGCGGGCGGAAGCTCGAGGCTCGGGGGGGGGGGGGCAGAGAGAGCAAGATGCCAGGGGCCCGGGGGGAGGAGGAGGAGGAGGAGGAGGAGGAGGAGGAGGAGGAGGAGGAGGAGGAGAAGGAGAGGAGGAGGAGGAGGAGGAGGAAGAGGAGGAGGAGGAACACCACGGGCTGAGGAGGGGAGGGCCCGCGCGCGGTTGGGGCCCGCCGTCACCCCGTCGTGCCGCGGGCTGCCCCCAAGGCCTGGGCTCAGCGCGCCGCCCCTGCCTGGCGGCGGCCGCGGCGCTGGGAGCAGCCGCTGCTGCGCTGTGAGGCCAGACGAGGCGCCAAGGCGAGCCCGCCTGGCACAGGCACCAACGCTCAGCGCGGGCGCAGGCCACACTGCTGGTCAGAGCGACGCAAGCGGCCAGACTGCTGGCATCACATCACTCAACGCAGCCGCAGCAGCAGCCTCAGCAGTAGCAGCAGCCACAGCGTGACAGAGGAAAGGAGACCGACGACTCAGTGAAGATGGCTCCTCGCTGGCAGCAAATGCAGATGACACCGAAGAGGCACGACAAGAACGAATGGAAGAGTCAAGGCACCATGGTCCAAGCCAGCGAGAGGGCGGAGTCAATCCAGACCACGAGGAGGCGGACATGATTATCAGAAGTACGATGGAGACAATGTGTTGCAGAAGATATACGACGCCATACCCATAGCCAGAATGGAGGACGCGCAGAACTAGAAACACTTCTCATGCCCACCAGAAGAAAAGGCAGCATTGCAGATCTGTAAGAAGAACCTTGCTTTTGGGAAAATCAGAGTATTGAAATTGATCCGAGCTGCGAAGGAAGCTGACGAGCCGTATGATTCACAAAGGATGGACATTGGAGTTATCAAGTTCCAACTTCTGGCAATGAGGCCGAGCTATAAGCAGAAGAATATCGTCGACAACGACCTGGACAAAATAGATGCACAACTCAAGAAGCTCGCGATCGATAGGCGCCGGATCATTGATCATCAAAATGAGCTCAAGGAAAGAAAGGCGAAATTCGTGGAACTCCTGGAGGAAATCGAGAAACAGAAGAACGAGGAGGAGATGGAGGACTAAGATATGGAATGGGATGACGAATGCGGTACCAAAAAGAAGACTGGGAACAAGCTACCAAATCCCCCCGCGACCTCTACGACGCGAAGATGTACACATGGAGAGGACCGTGGATTTGACTACGGCAAGTGGCAATGCCTTATCATCTACGACACCAGATATTGCGACAGTCATGGCACAGATGGCATCTTTGACGCGGAGAGTGACAGCTCAGGCACAAGCTCAAATGGAAATGTAAAAAGCAATGCAGGAGCAGGCTCGCATTATGCATAATCCGCAGATTAACAATCAGAGATACTATCAGCAGGATATTCAATAATTCAATACGAACAAAGGGTGCAAGCCGAACAAACGATGACACAACAAGTCGGAGATGAGCAGCAGAAGAGGAGTACTTCTCAGCAGCAGGGAATGAATGATCGATTGTTGGCCGAACAAGGGAGGCTAAATGCCATTCAAGCTCGGACGGAAACGATGTTCAGACATATTCCGGGAGAAGAACATGAAAGACAGCTACGATAATTGCATCAGGTGCAGGAGATGGAGGCCATTCAGAATGACAAGGAGGAGCTTGAAGAGTTCGCAACATAATATTGTTGTCGTGAGGCTGAGCAACAACAAAATGATATTGCCAATGCAATCAGGAAAGCAAACGGTGGGGCACAGGCAGCGAGTTCTAGACAGAATGAGGAGTTCGAGCACAAGATTGAGGACATGGATGGCGGAGGGAACCCACCGATTCCAAGAAGTACCCCACCACCACTTCCAGACGACGATGACATCGAGCTCGCGATCCAGGTTGCTGAAGAAGAGGACGCCTGCAAAGGTAGCATGAGTCGGCGGCCAGAAGCGGGTACCAAAGACGAGGCCGATATGAGGGAGTACGAGGCCGAGACGGAGTGCATGATTGCACATATCAATCAATCCACGATGTCACAGATGTATGGAGTCACAGCATATGAGCGATACCCTCCAGGGACATCTACGCCAAAAGCATGCTCACCTACGTCTCCAGTACCTTCGGCACAGCCGACACCGCATTACCCGAGTGAAGATCCATACGCGCAGTTCCAGGACTCCAATGGCATGGGCAAAGGCTACAAGGGTGGACATGGGAAAGGACAAGAACCTGGAGGAGGCAAGGCGATGAGAGCATTTGGTGCTGCGTCAATTCAGTCCGCCGAGTACCCTCCGCATCCTGATGAAGACCCACAAGAAGTGTCCCCGACGATCCCGATGTCGCCCATAGGTCCTAAAGTATACAAGATTTCCACCCCAAGAAGAATACGCGAGAACGGTGACTTCATCGATGGGAATACATCCAGCTCAGGAGCGGAAGGTCGCATTCCCCCAGCCAAGGTCAGGATGGGGGAACGAGTGGGAGGTGACGGTTTCGATTACCCAGGGGACCGGCTGCAACTTCCTACCCGACTAAGTACTCAGTCCCACCTGGGGGGACAAAAAGGAAAAAAGTGAGTTGGCGCCCTCCTCGTTGGAAGGCTGACCGCCACGAGGGAGGGAGGAGGCGACTCTCAACGAGGATCACACGTAGATTACATCATGGGGAAGATGGAGAGCATGGAATTCACGACATTTTGTCATCACAGTCAACAAATTGCGGGAGATCAACGATGGCGACAAATATGGGGGCACAGCGAATCCAGCTGGCGATGCCCACATCATCTTTTTGCCACCAGATCCGCATCAGGTGGGTGTAGGAGCGCTGACACCCAACCAGTCTGGAGAATACAGTCAACCAGGACATCAGGATGAAGGCGGATTTTTCCTTGGAGCAGATGGTCGAGAATGCTGTCGGGTATCCACGGCGGGTTTGACGGAACACGCCCTATTCATGGGTGGCGATCCTCACCTTTCGACCTCTACGCCCTCTAGTACTAGGACTCGACACTCAATTCCTCCCCCACCAGGCCTGGAAGAAAAGTTCGAGATAGGACGACGAGAGTTACGCCGACCAATACTTGCATTTGCAGAACTCATTGGACATACAAAGCGGTGCGAGGCAAATATTCCGCGGTCTCTTACATATTGCATACGTGAATGAGACCATCCCATCCAGCTCTGCGATGACTTCCAGCGAATCGAGTTAAATGACTTCGCAAAGCTACCGTTGGCGATGGCACCCAAGCGAGAATGTGTGCCTATGTATGGACACATTTGGACAGATGGTTCTCAAAGGCATGCTGACTCATCCTTGACGGGTGGGACGTGATAGTCAGCTTCCAGGGGGAACGAAGACATGCATTTCAGGGCTACCTCACATCACGGACGATTGGTAGCTCAAGGATTGTTCACGACGGAGACCACATGGACAGTACGGTGTCGGAAATGATGGCGACGGTTTGGGCACTACACGATGTTATTAAAGAAGGGCAGAAACATCGAATGACTTGGAATATCACAACGGATTCGAAGGTGACAATGGGGGTGATTGCCAGACGACATGGAGACGCTCCAAGTAAGAAGTTAGCAGCATACCTGGTCGCCCTTGCAAGGGAAGCACAGAAGTTACAAGATATACGATTCCATCATACCAAATCTCATGACTCTGATCCTTGGAACCATCTAGCTGACAATACCGCTAAAGCCAACCTAGAGTACAGTTCCGGATGTCCCCGCACTCAACTATCGTCACATATATTATTTAGCAGTGGCGTTCAGTGGGCATGGCTACGAATTTCACAAGAGGGAGCCAACGCAAACCCCGTTCTCAGATGGACATCTACAGTTTCAATCACCAAATGAACGGAGTCGTCCATGGGGGGCATGCGACAGCCTAATCGACATGAAGGAGGAGATGTACGCAGGGGGTCGAGGAAGACATGTTGAAGGTGCGAGACAGGCTCAAACTCAAGTACGATTCAGAGCGGCGACACATAATGCAATGTCGCTCAAGGAAGCCAGGTCAAGGAAATTAAACAGACATCGGAGAGAAGAGAAAAAGAGAAGGATTCAGCGACTGAGAGCGCAATTTATGAACGACTCACTTTTGTTCGTGGGTATTCAAGAAGCACGAGGGCGCGAAGGTCAACAATGGACCGATTGATCTCTCGCACTCCGAGCAGGAGCGGATGCTGGAGGACAAGGATGTGCTCTGCTGGTGGCGACTACGATACCGTATTATATTGGGAAGAGAATATACTACATAACCGAGCGCCACTTGCGGGTCATTCACAAGGCTTCTACGAGGCTGCTGGCGCGGGTGACTGCCCCACATGTATCGATATGTATTCTTGTTGCACACACGCACCACAGCGAGGGCGCCCAGCCGCAAAAAGAAAAACATGGTGGCAAGATACTGTAGGACTCCTCGACAGGCATCCTGCAGATATGGTGCTCATCGACGCTAATGCCAGGTTGGACGCAACAGTGATGGAGCCTCCTTACATTGGGGATCGGCCGCCTTGGAGCAAGCTCGACGAGAACAGGAGGATATTTGCAGAAATTTGTGTCCATCGCCGTCTACGGATATACAACGCAATTGTCGGCGAAGAGACGGACTGGACATTTACGGATGGTGAGGTGAAGCATAGGAATAATTTGTATGCCTGAGCACGACATGGTATGAAAATGCAGTGGGCAGGGAAGTTACCGACAACCTTGGCAGTGGATTATCATGTGAAGATCACCGGCCAGTCTAGGGCTCAATTTCAATCTCACCATGTTGCATGTCCGAGAGGAGGCCCTTCCAGGTTGGCCATTGCACGCGGGAAGATGGAGGATCCCGAGTTGCTGAGCCAGTTCCAAAAAGAGATACAGAATGCCTAGCCAGGAGACTGGGAGGAGGACGTCAACACTCAGTACCATAGCATGGTCACGACCATCAAAGACGCAGCAAGGGCAGCGCTTGCGAAAGATATGTTTACACCATATCAAGAATA